GGCTTCTCTCTCCGGTGGCTTCCTTCCCTCCTCTTCCCTGCCACAGAGACAGGAAAGCGGCCCCGGGAGGGCCACTGCGCCGGTGACTCCTGTCTGCGCCTGCAACTTTCGCGTTAGCGAACTTGCTGAGGCGGCCTCTGCGGAACAGCAAGCTGTAATTGTGGCAAAAATAGTTTTGGCTTATTTGAGGGGTCGGTGTATTTTCCAAAACGCACTGCCTTGGCTGCATCGTGTAATGATGCACCCTGGATAGCTACAGAAGGGAAAAGCTGTCCACCTGCGAAGTAACAAGGCGTTTCTTACTGCCACCTGTACAAAAGAAAAGCTTCCGACTTTCTAACCTTTAAACGCCTGTAGCAACCTGCAGTCCTGGTTCAACCGGTCAAAAGCTCATCTAAGCTTTTGCAAAGGGAGGGGCTGGGCCAGGTCCTCTCGACAGCACTGTTAGTGCCCGGGAGGTTGAGTCTTGTACTTGGTTCTTTTGTGACTTTATAGAGTGTGAAGCAACTAACGTGTCAAAAAAGGGAATAACTGAGACTCAAATAGGACTGTATTTTTCAAGCTAGTGAACAGTAGTGCAAAGTCATCTCAGTGAGCACTTTGGAAGTGGTACAGTCCCACAATGTATGGGAGAACTTGTAGAGCCATCTGAAATTGCTTTCTCTTTGCTAACAAAGCCATTTAGAAACCTCTTTGAAGACCTCTTTGATAACCTTGGGTCAGTTTGAGAGAGAGGACAGCTGATGGAACTGTTGTTTTCCAGACACAGTATTAGAGCTTAATAGCAGGAGGATGTAAATATGCGAGTATATGTAGGTTCAGTGTTAATACCACATGCAGTTGTTGGAAAACAATTTCTCTTTTCAATAGTAGTTCTTACTACAGGATTTCCTGTCCCATTAAAAGTATCCCAAAGCATAATTTCTTGGCTCCTAAACGTTCATTTAGCATTATCTAGGATATAATCTATATTGGAAAAAAATACGAAGCATTCTAAATAATATTCTGTTCTGAAGCAGGTTGCAAGCTGGCTTGCATAGTAAAGGAGACCTTAAAGCAAAACCTTAGTACCTAAATTGGTAATGAAGCAGCAAGTTAATTTTTGGATCTATTAACCTTCATTTGCTAACCTTGACATAGTTGTGTTAGCCTACAAAAGAGAACCTTAGTAGAGTTACAAGGGTTGTTTTGTCAGTGCTGTAGGACAAACTCTTTTAAGCAGCTACAAATACTTAAATACTACGCGGTAAGTTTGCAGATCTCCTAGCAGCCAAAACCTACTTCAGCTTCGATCTGAAGCCAACCAGCTGAAAGGTACTAGCAAAATCTGTGTGATGTTATGGGCGGTTGCCTGAATTTTCATCTGCCACCACACATCTTTTGTATTTACGCTGGTAAGAGATGCAAGGCTTAAGGGTAAGCAGCAGTTCCATACAGGACATGCAAATTGCAGCTGGCTGTATTGCCTCTCAGAATTTCTAATCCCTGAATAATCATTTTTACTGTGTGGAAAACAGTACAGGGGGGTACTGTGGTGGGAGAACTTATGAATTTGTCTGAGTTTGCTAAAACATACTTTTCAAGTACCTCTTTCTTGTTGGAGAGGTTGTTTGTTTACTTTTTAATGTCTTTGTAATGCTGGCATTGGTAGGAATTTCAGGTGAGAGGTACCTGTCCTCAGTTCCAGATCAGGTGTCACATTACAAAACAAATAGCTATTGGAGCAATTAAACATAAGAAGTTTCTTTTGTGTCTAACAGTGTGGGTTAGCTCACAGTCAAGCTAATACTAAGTAGTGGAATTGTTTTGGATTTTACTTTTTGTTTTGTACTTAACCATCTTTTTTTTGCATGAGTTGTAGAATTGCAGTTTTGAATTTAACCCACCCTTGTCCTGTTCAGCTAAGCTTGGTAAGAGATTTGGAAGTTAGTAATGAGGGCTTTTTCACATAAGCCTAATTTCTTTACGAAGCAGCGTGAAAAATGAAGCTTAGACTGACATTGTGAAAAGTTACTGTAGCTCTTTACAACCAATTGCATAACCACTGTCTTGGGAATTCAGAATTTAAAACCACTGTCATAGAACATGAATGTCTGTTTTCCTTTAGAGTTACACGTTCCCATTTTGATGTAACATTTGAGCACTGTGATTTGCAGAAAAAGACCCAGTATTTTGGTAGTACAATTCTCATGGATTGTGTAGGTTTTTGCGTTCAACATTCACCTAAGGAAGGTCAGCTCATTAATTTTACGTTCCTTAAAAGTTTTTGAAAGGACAATGCACCAGGAAGATAATGTGAAAAAACAGTTGAATAGGATTATTTGATCCATCAGGAAGTCATACGAACGTATCCTGATGGCACTTTAATTTTCATAATTAAAACAGATTTCATAGAATTTTGAAAGTCTTTGAAAAAGGAGCAGTAGAAGGGAATGAGAAAGGGACAATGAGGTCAGTGAAGTTGGAAAGGTGAGATGATGGAGAAAAGGGAAA